AAGAACTGAGTGCTAGCTTAGATAAAGGTGTGTACTTACTGAGGGGTACAAAGGCAGCGTAGGATAAATTCCACTGTAGTTGCTATGAGGAAAAAATGGAAGGCCTGGAAAAGGAAGAAAAGAATATATAGAATTCTGTTGATGATGAAAACAGATTTATTATTCCAATAAGTTATGCCACCCTCTGCCAGGATGTTCTCAAGACTCATTCCCTGATTACTTAAGAAAATATATTTGAGGTCAGCCCCAGCCACTTTTATATAACTCTATTTGTATCTATTGGTGGATTAAAAAATATTACATGACTAGTAGTTTTAGAGTTATACAGTCCTAATAGGCACTGAAAAACATCCTCCAGACTATCATGTTTACTCCTAAAATTTATGTGAGAATGAACGTCCTACTGAACAAGCCATGAGAGATAGGACATTGGAAAAGTGATGTAATTTGCCAAAATAAATTTGCCAAAGCGCTATACAACTTAACCCCTTAACAGAATTAAAAAAGCTATTAAGAGAGCTTTGCTAGAATGTAAACCCTCACTACACCGATTGGAGGGGGGCTCTGCACTGGGCAAGATGGCCATAGGTGCAAACTAGAGAATTAATAGAAACTATTAAAGCTGTGGAGCCTCAGTGCCTCATAAACCAGGGAGACTAAATATTTGTTAACCATACTAGATAAAAAGACACACACAGGGTGCATCCAAAATTGCAGACCCTTATTAGAGTGGAATGGCAATGTTTTGATTCTCAACACGAGCCAAAACATTGCCATTCCACTCAAATGAAAATCTGTGATTTTGAATGCACCCATAGGTACAAGCTAGTCATATATCTAGGATACTAGCCTTTTTTTGTTTTAGGTAGACTGCACCAAACACCAGGACATGGAATGGACACTATTAAAAATCTATTTTCACCTAAAGCACCTTAGGTCAGCACTGTTAAAGTTTATTTTTAATGAAACTCACCTTGTGGTTTTTCATTTGTTATTTCCTCATTTACGCCTGGATTATCCATAGAGAATATAATGATTTCAACCATAATGGCTGGTGGAGACTCAGAGAATCGTTTCATTATGTTTAGGTTGTCCTCTTCATAATGGTAGCCGGTCTTGGTCATTTCTTCTAGCTCTGGGATAATGTAAAACAAAACGAACACCCAGCCATTTACTAGTAAAGCAACTGCCAGGATAAAATCATTCCAATTTTTCATGTAACCTAATTTTTCAACTCCATAGATGTACACCACAATCCACGTTATCCAGATAACAACAGAAGAAAATGCTGTTAAAGCAATGTATTTTCCATGGTGCTTCCATTGTAGATAATGTCCAAAGAACACTGGACAAGGAATAAATAGTGAGGCCAGTATGAGGAACATCACAAATCACCAATGCAGTCACAAAGTCCTGGTTGGTAATATTACAGGGGCTGTCAGGCTGAGATGGAGACAAAAGATTGTGATGTACATTTGTGATAAGAAGCCACTCTATGTTTATTAGAGCCTCCACCATAAAAAGTCCAAGGGCCAAAGAAAATATCCAGCACCCACCAGGTCCACGATTTTGAAACACCAGGTAGTTAAGCCTGACTGAATGTGCCACCAAACATGAAAAGCACATAGCAAATAGTACTCCAAATAAAAATCTGCGGCACACACATACCACAGCAGTAGGTGCAACGAGAAAGGAAAAAACTAAAGCAAAAAGGCCAAAGACACCTACTAAAAACATAGCATTAATGGCTAAGGAACCTTTGCGTTCATCCCGAATAACTGATGGAGCCAATGCCAAAAATATCAATATCAGCACAAAGGTGGAAACAATTCCTAAGGCTGCCACGGCTTCTATTATAATTCCCCATGCTGCATTCATATCACAAAGTACAAAGTACATTGATTTGATATCATGTCCACATCCTTTTGGCACAACCGAGATGTTCTGCAAGCCTGGAGCTGAGGTCGTGAGATTCTGAGTAGAACCAGCTTTCATGAAGTTCAGCAATGCGATAAACAAAAGGTATCTGCTTGCCAATGTCAGGTATAGTATTGCTGTTTGTGACAAGACCAATCTCGCCACATTGCATTGGAGAAGCCTGGTTGCTCGCCTGTTGCCTTTGGATTATGGCCCCATGTTAAAAGGCTTGATTTTCCCTTGCAAAGACATGAAAGCCGGGTCATTTGGTGCTTGCCCTGTTTGAGCGGTGATACCCCAGATAGCTATGCCATGGAGCCCATTCGTATAATGAAAGACTATGGGAAAGACTTTGGCTCCATGGCAATTGAACTGTATGTGTGTGCTCTGAGCGCCATTCAGTAATAATGTGTGCTCAGATCTGAGCTATCTGGGGATATGTTGAATGTACTTGTTTTGTGCAATGGCTGCACAGTTATATGTTTTTATGTGTTTTATTGTCTTTTGCTGCCATGTGTTCAGTGGAGTTTTGCCTCTGTCTTTGGAGAAAATTGGATTACTTCCCAATTATCTCCAGGATAGAAGACTCTGCAGAACTGGTTTTGGGCAGAAAAGCCATGCTTCCTTTGGTCACAAAGGACTACGATCTATCTTTTGAACCATTGGACCAATTTGTATGAATTTGACATATGTTTGTATTTGGAGTATGCTTATTCTGAAATAGTGATGAACCGAACGGTTCGCTGGCGAACGGTTCCTGGCGAACATAGCATGTTCGCGTTCGCCACGGCGGGCGAACATATGCGCAGTTCGACCCGCCCCCTATTCGTCATCATTGAGTAAACTTTGACCCTGTACCTCACAGTCAGCAGACACATTCCAGCCAATTAGCAGCACAGCCTCCCTAGCAGACCCTCCCACCTACTGGACAGCATCCATTTTAGATTCATTCTCAAGCTGCATGCTTAGTAAGAGGAGGGAAAGTGTAGCTGCTGTTCATAAGATAGGGAAAAGCATAGCTAGGTTAGGGATAAGGGTATGCTTTTTTTATTTTTTTTTTATATGTAATGTAAATGCACTTAGTTGTCTGCCACTGCTGCCAGCTTCTGTGTCAGGCTCACAGTGCCCATTTCCCCAGTCAGTGCCACCAATTACATCTGGTGTCACAATAGCTTGGATTTAAATACAAAAAACTTTTTTCACTGTTATAGATT